GCTGACAAAGCTTTAGAACCATGTTTTGGACACAGAGTAGCTGTCTGCTGCATAAAACAATGCTCACTTATTCAGCAGCTGTTAAAAGAGCAGACAGCCAAAACAAAGGTGGTACAGGCCCTGCTAGCCAGCCACACATACAAATTTTAGCTGCATTTTCAGCACCCAAGTACAAACAGACGTGTACTGCATCACTTATGGAGAGCACGCCCACATATATAATTCATGGTGTTTTCTCTCAAAATCCTTACAAGCAAAGTCTTGATCCTTCAAGCACTTATGCTTGGATGCATTTTAATGCAGAAAGCCACCAGCTGTGCACATTTAAGGTCTACCTATAGTCAGAACACAAATTAGAAATGTTCTTGGCCCTGAGCAAACCCGGGTAACATGTAGGGCTTATTTGCATCACCCATGTTTTCCAGGGTTCACATGTTCAATTGCAGTCATCCATTGTCAAAAAATCAAGTGATAAACCTGCAAATGTGAACACAGGAAACTGCCTTGTAAGAGATCAGTCTATTTCTCCAGCTCGTCTTGTGTCTGACCGGAAGTGGCTTCCTGGGGTCCTAGGTGGAGGCTCATTCACATCATCTGCTACCTGATCCTTTTAACCGGTGATGCCCAACGTTGGACCTGGGACCTGCTGTGTGCAAAGCTTGTGGTCTACCACTGAGTTATCAGATCTCCCATAAGTTCAAAGCCTGAGCCTTAATGTGGTCTTTTATTTTTCTTTTTAAAAATGATTATAATCAAAGATAAATCCAGCCACTTTTGACGGACAAGTTCACATGCTATGAACATCTGTCTCCTGCCATCCACACACTTGTTGTTGTTGTTTAGTTGTTTAGTCATGTCCGATTCTTCGTGATCCCATGGACGCCAGGCACTCCTATCTTCCACTGCCTCCCGCAGTTTGGTCAAACTCATGCTGGTAGCTTCGAGAACACTGTCCAACCATCTCGTCCTCTGTCTTCCCCTTCTCCTTGTGCCCTCAATCTTTCCCAGCATAGGAGTCTTTTCCAGGGAGTCTTCTCTTCTCATGAGTTGGCCAAAGTACTGGAGCCTCAGCTTCACTATCTGTCCTTCCAGTGAGCACTCAGGGCTGATTTCCTTAAGAATGGAGAGGTTTGATCTTCTTGCAGTCCGTGGGACTCTCAAGAGTCTCCTCCAGCACCATGATTCAAAAGCATCAATTCTTCAGCGATCAGCCTTCTTTATGGTCCAGCTCTCACTTCCATACATCACTACTGGGAAAACCATAGCTTTAACTATACGGACCTTTGTTGGCAAGGTGGAGCAGGAATCGGCAAGCCACTCCAGTATCCTTGCCAAGAAAACTCCATGGACAGAGACAACAGGCATCCACACACATTGGTGTGTTAAATCCATACACCTTGCTTGCCTGGCTGGTGTTCATCTCTGGGAACTGGAACAATGTGGATAACTTATACAAATACTAATCCCTCTTATGTGGACACTGGTTCAATTACTGTGGCCATTTCCTATGCAAACAAACAGACCAGTGTGAGCTGAAAAGACCTGCTTTTCTGTATCGCAACCCATTCAGCTGGCAGCAGATCTTCATGGTTTCAAACAGCCTTCCCAGCCCAACCAGATGTCAGGGGTTGAACCAGGGGTCTTTTGCATGTGGTTTACCATTGAGCTAAGGCCTAACTCTCCCAAACAGATGGTTCAGGCACACACTGATAAAGAAGCATATCTACAAGATAGACACCAAGTAGTTCAATGGTCATTTCCTCTTCCCTGGGGACACTTGGAAATTGTATTTCTGCAAGAAGGCTGAGACCCTCTAACAGATGAGTTTCTGTACTGTGTCAGACTAGAATTACCAAAATTCTTTGGGAAAGACGTCATACTGTGCAGGGCCGGATTTAGGTTTGATGAGGCCCTAAGCTACTGAAGGTAATGAAGGTCCAGCTGTCCTTTGTCAACGAAAAATGGTCACTGTTTTTTGTGTTTATGTCACTGTTTGTTTTATGTATATATAGCATATATTCATGGACCTAATAGGTATCTAAAGCCATTTGCACATAACAAAATATGTATTTTATCAAACTAATTATTGAACTGAAATACAATTAAGAAGAAGTATATTAATAGTGAAATTTGGGGGTGGGGCAAGAGAGTGGGGTCCTAAGCTGTAGCTTGTTTAGCTTATATGTAAATCCGGCACTGATACTGGGTATCACACAACTGATATAAATTTAGACTGTAGCTATGCCTGGTATGAAATACCTTAGATGTACATTACAGAAAATTTTTATTATATAAAAAGCAAAGGTAGCTATAAGGGGGGGGGGGGCCTCCAAAATCCGCAGTTGACCAATACCTTTATCAGATTCAGGACCTACTAAAATGTCACAAAATTGTGGCAAGCTTCCAGGTTCCAAAGAACTCTTCATCAGTCTAGGTGCTGCAACAAGATAGGGGGTGCAGATGAGGAAGACTAAAAACCAAAACAAGGACTCTGTTGTTGCCATGAGGTCAGCTTGTACACTTTGTTAGAAGATTGTAGGCTGAACAAGACCCTCCTGTGTGCTACAAATCAGGTTTGTTTTTGTTTTTTTTAAAGGGGCCCCTGACCATTAGGTCCAGTCGTGACTGACTCTGGGGTTGCGGCGCTCATCTCGCTTTACTGGCCGAGGGAGCCAGCGTACAGTTTCCAGGTCATGTGGCCAGCATGACTAAGCCGCTTCTGGCAAACCAGAGCAGCGCAGGTAAACGCCGTTTATCTTCCCACCGGAGCAGTACCTATTTATCTACTTTATCTACTTGCACTTAGACGTGCTTTCAAACTGCTGGGTTGGCAGGAGCAAGGACCGAGCAACGGAAGCTCACCCTGTCGCGGGGATTTGAACTGCCCACCTTCCAATCAGCAAGCCCTAGGCTCTGTGGTTTAACCCACAGCGCCACCACTTGAATTCTGGGATAAAGGGGTAGGAACCATTTCCTCCTGGTGGCATGGGGGTGTGGTTTGGAAAGGGCCCTGGCTCAGGGAAAGCACGTTTTGCATCCATGCTTGTGAAAACCCTGTGATTTGTATAAGTGAAAAACAAATAAACAAAAAACACACCCAGCTGGGCAACCCCTTGAAAAATAGCCCAATGAGGAGTGAGCAGTGGAATGTAGTGTGTCAGTTGGAACAGAAAACCGTGATATGTGGGGTGTAGGAGGAGAGGAATTCACGTCTGCTGGGAGCAACGGCTGGCTAAATAGCACTTTTAGAAAGGAGCTTGCACCACAACTATTTGTTGCAGGCCCCACTTGTTTCGTACAATCCAGAGGAGTGAATCATTTCCATCATTCACTCATTCATCCACTAGCCAATCCCATTGATGGCGCTCTATAGTTTGTGAGTCGGTTGACCATCTAACAATGATATAAAGAGACTCCTCTGTAGAGTAGGTGGAATTTGTCATGGGGTGGTCATCCACCCCACCACTGATTTAACCAGTAAGGCAGCTGTTCAACTAGCAAATAACCCCTACCATCCTCTACCAGCCACACAGCCTGTTGCTCATAGTCTGTCCTGTGTAACCTGCTGTGGAAGGCACCCTCTTGACACCCGTGAAGCAGGACTCCGTTTGGCCAGTTTCTGTATGTGGAGCAGAGAGGGAGGATGCCATCTTGTACATTGCCTCAGGCAAGAATATGTTTTTGGCCGACTGTGCTGTTATGAGATAAAAAAAGGTAAAGGGACCCCTGACCATTAGGTCCAGTCGTGACCGACTCTGGGGTTGCGGCGCTCATCTCGCTTTATTGGCCGAGGGAGCTGGTGTACAGCTTCCGGGTCATGTGGCCAGCATGACTAAGCCTCTTCTGGAGAACCAGAGCAGTGCACCGAAACGCCGTTTACGAGAGGCTAATTAGCATGGGAAGGTGACTGTATTTAATCCAGAGCAAAAGGACTAAACCAGTGGACTATGTGCACATAGAAACATTAATCTGAAGCAGCGCTTGTATTCATTATTAGCATGTGCATATCTGTTTCTACAGGGATGCCAGACTGCAGTCCGCCTGCCTAGAAGTTGGTATCCCTAAGAGCGTAAGCAGAGCCCTGCTGCACCAAAGGCCCCATCTAGTCCAGCAGCATCCTGTTCTTGCCTGTAGGCAGTATCCTGTTCTTCCCTATAGGATGCTCCTACACCACCCTGGCAGATTCTGTGGGTTGGTCAGGAAAAGGTGCGCTGCATTTGTTCCCACACACCATTCCTAATATTGCAGGATCACCTTTGAAAAGAGATAGGGAGAGAGAGGGAAACAAAACTTCTCCATAGAAGAGAGAGGGAGGGGAAAAAAACTTTCCTCAAAGTCAGGCTTTGGCCTCCACACTTTTAAAAAAGCCGTTGCCTCTCTTCGCATGCTCGAGGCATAGGTGCCAACTCCTAGAGCCCTTCGCCCCACTCCCCATAAAATACTGGAGAGGGTCACCCTCTCTCCAGATTGATGGGCATTGCCATTCAAATGGTGTGTGTGCCGCGTATTGTGATTTTGTGGGGCAAGTCCCCCCCACAAAAAACATTTTATTCAAGTGGGCACCCCTGCCCAGAGGCACTATTTAGTGTCTCGTCCCAATGAATAAGACACTAGGGGGCAGGTAAGCCCCACCCCACATAACTGATCACATAATGGGGCGCACCCACACTATTTGAATAGCCCATCAACTTGGGGGGGACCAGCCCCCTCAAATATTTTGCTGGGAGGGGGGCGAAGGGACCTAGGCCCCTAGGAGGTGACTCCTATGCTTCCCACGTTCCAGACGGAGTCTAACTTCCTCTTTGAGCCTGTGGGACAGAGGCGGGCTATAGCTTCCTCCCCTTCGGCGCCTTCTGCAGCCTCCCGGGCCGCTACCATCCCCGGCGGCGGAGGGCGGGGCAGGGCGGTGTCGGCGGAAACAGCGCCGCCCTCTGGGCAGAGGCCGCGCTCGCGCTTCGCCCAGCCCGAAGAGCCGCATTTCCAGGAGGGCCGGGCTAAGAATGCAAATGAGCCCCGTAAGCGGCTGAAGGGAGAAGAAAGGCGAAGCGGTTGCAGGAGCGACTCAGCCGCCGCGTTAGCCAGCCAGCCAGCCAGCCAGCCAGCCCGCGAGGCAGCAGGAAGGGTGCCCGGGAGGGGAGCCGCCACAAAGCCAGCCGAGCCCTTCCCTCAGGCAGCCGCCAAGCTCCGTGCGAGAGCAGGACGGCGCTGCTGCTCGTGGCCGCCGAGCTGGGCTTTGTCTGCTGAGAGACGCCGGTGGTACCCACCCCCTTTGCGCCAAGCCAGCCAGCCAGCCTGCCAGCCCGCGCAACTGCCTGCGCTTGTGGGGAAGGCGAGAAGGGACGCTGCGCGATTTGCAAGGCACAGGTAAGCGCTGCGCAAAAGGAGAAGCTCCTCGCCCGCCCGCCCGCCCGCCCGCCTTTCTCGGGGAGGGGGAGGCATTTTCGCTTGCCTCCCCGCCCCGCCGACTCTGTCCCTGTAATGCAAAAAAAGAAAGGTCCTGGCTGTCAAAAGCGTGTGTGCCTCCTCCTCCTCCCCAGCCCACACCTCTCCCCATTGTCTTGGGATGAGCATCTTGGAAGGATGCGGGTTGGGTTAGGTAGGGGGCTGCTCCGGGGCTTTCTCGCTCTCTCTTTCCCCTAAGCAACCCCTTTCCTGCTTTGCCAAATTGGGGAGCTCTGCGATTTTTTTTGCACCATTTTGGGCTGCTTGGCTACAGCTGAGACGGGGAGGAGGAGGTTCCCTCTCTGTCTAGGGGAGAAGGCGCCTGTCATTGTGTGGAAGCAGAGGCAAAACGCCCCCCCCTTCCCTCCCCTTTAACCGACTCCTTTGGGCTTTCTCTTGCCTCATTTGGCCACAGGCACCAGGGAAATTCTGTATTCTACATTTTTTTAAAAAAAGAATCCTGATATGTCTGTCCACTTGCTTTGAGCATGCTGGGGAGACACCTTTATTTCATGCATTGATAGCTACAGTGGTTTTTTGTTTTTTTTGGAAAACGTGCAGGCGGAGACAGGGACAACGTGCCCCATCTGCTAACATGGGGGCAGATGGTGTCACCTCTTTTCTTTTGGAGAGAGAGAGAAAATGAAGAAAGGAAATATATGGGCAGGGTGATTCTCTTTTGAAGTCCATTATCATCTGTGCATTGAGGTGTTCCACGTGGCTTATTATTCTATATTAATCACTTGAGCCACATTTTAAAGGATGCCTTTTTATTTTTTTTTTAAAAAGCCCATTATGTAACTGAGGATGGTGGCTTTTCCTAATGACTGGCCAAACGGAGCCTATTGTTCAGTCTTCTCTGAATGATTTGTATATTGATTTGTGGCATGTATTTGGGGCTGTGTTTGATTGCTTTGTGGAACTCTCCACCCGCATTTGCAGTGCCGCCTTCCTGCACTCGATGAATGTGGTGTGCATGGTAGGGGCATGAAGGTCTTAGCTGGGCGTGTTCCATTATACAGCAGCCTGCAATTAGGGTCTGCAAAGTGATTTATTGCCTACAAATTTTAATTGTTAGGCTGTCACCCTTAAACCGTTTATTCTGAGCTGTGTGTGTGTGTGTCTATGGACCTTCTCTGGATTAAGTGGCTTGAGAGCTGTGGCCTATTCCTCATGCTGGACACACAGAATTTGGGGCGGGGGTGGCAGTAGTTGGTGTGACATGGCCATGCTGTGATTGAAAGGCATCACATTTCCTCTTTAAAGCTTCCTATTGAAGTAAAATTATTCATGCTGGGTCAGAGCATCTCCTAAACATTCTTCAATTTTTTTCTGTAATTTTTTAAAATTTGCGTTTAATCTTCTGCAGGATTCTGCTAGTTCCCACCACTGTGTTTCCCCTATGCAGTCAGGCTCACACGTTCAGATGCAAGGCTATTCTTCTGTGGCCTTTCATGTATAATACTAGGATGGTACCAGGCTGTTTTGTATAAATCTGCACTTTGGAGTTTAAAATTTGGAGTTTGCTTTGAAAATGCTGGTGTCTGATCTTGGGTCTAAACTGGTCCTCTATCATGCTTTCAAATGCCACATCATGGCTATGATTAGATGTTATCATCATCTGTGATTAGACAGGATTTCAAACTTGTAGCTCTATTTTTTTTGGTAAACAAATGTGTTCCATAACTTGCAAATTCTAAGGTGGATAATCTCCATAACATGGGATGTTCATGCTAAGCAGATGTGAACTGTGAGCTATAAGAAGTCTGGAATAAGAGCACCACCTGTTCAGGAGGCATATGTTCAACTTTGAAGCCCACCAGCACACGTTTAAGGATCACTCTGAGATGCAGAGATTGCTAGTTTTAAAAAGTATTTAGACAAATTCATGGAGAACAGGCCTATCGGTAGCTATTAGCAATGATGGCAAAATAGAACCTCCATGTTCAGGGGCACTGCACCTGTGATTGCAACATGCTAGAGACCACCAGCAGAGGAGGATTACTGCCTTCATACTTTGCTTCTGAGTTTCTCAGAAGCACCTGGCTAGCCACTCTTGAATGCAAGAAGGGGCTTCCATGCATTGAAAGGGCAATGGGGCCACACTACCAGCCTCACCTTTAACCCCGTTCAGCTCTCCAGTCCCACTCCTCAGTGTCCACACATTGAGTGTGGTTGTGTGTAGTTGGCAAGCCTGCTTTCATAGATCCTTGCATGCGTAGGCTTCCATTCCTAATGGAAACATCCATGGATGTTGGGGTGGAGTAGGACCAGTGGGACCCCCTCCTTCAGCATGTAGAGCCCCCACTCTTGTGAATCAATGTGGCTTGGACAGAGCTCTGATTTGATCTAGCAGCCCTACACCTGTGTTCTTTATTTACCTGTATGCTAAAAGTTGAGGTGGGATGCATGCCAATCTAGTTTTAAACGTGGGCCCAGGGCACTGCTGGTATGTCTTTGGTACATCGAAAGCCTGTAGCCTTGAGCACAATGATGTGGAACCAGGTCCTGTTGAAATCTGAGGGTCTTTCAAAGAAACACATTAAGGTTCCCAAACTACTGATTGCTTTTCTCCTCTCCCTACCACTCCCACCCCCAATAAATAGCTGTCACCTAATGATTAGTGATATAGCCTGCCCGGTTCTGCTATTTTCCTTTCTTTATGGGAAATCAATGTGATGGATAAGACACTTTTAAATTAGGTTTGTATATTTGTGCTATAAATACATTTTGCTGTGCTTTATTTTTGAAACTTTTTAAAAGAGCTACAAGTGTAGGCTACAGCTGTAAACAAAATGATTGATTCCTGGATTTATTTATTTAACAAGCAAGGCTTTACATAGTTGGGAAGATGGCATTCTCAAAATGCCTTAAATAGATCCTGGGGGAAAGACGGTTGTATAATAAAATGATTGCAATGTTTTAATATATGTACTGTATTAGGAACATATTTGTTTCATTTTGGACAGAATCCTGACATCATTTTTAATTGTCCTGTATGTTTTGACATCAGTCAATTCATTTTATGATTCTGAAGCTGTCAACTGGGCAGCAGTTTATGCTAATCCAAATGCTTATAATTCCTTCTCATTTCAAGGGGAAAAATACCAGTGATGGCTAGTATTTTTGAAGGTTTAAACATAAAAGATTAGCTCATTTATAGCCCTTTTATTATAGATAGGGACTTCTGGTTCTTCTTTTTGTATCCTCCAGCTTAATCCTGCGCTTGTCTACTCAGAAGTAAGTCCCATGATACATAGGCCCAATGTACTCATGCAGTAGAATCAAATGCTAAGATTTTTCTGGATTATACAACTTCAGGCTGCAAATGAGGAACCTTTCTGAATGCATCCCGACCCCCTAATGACAACGAGGCTTCCTTATATGTCAAAAATGTGGTGCACCAGGGAGAAGGATTTAACTTAGGCTTTGCTAGGGATGGGCAAGAAATTCAGTTCAGTTTGCACTTAAAGCAAACCTGCCTACATTTGCACTTTTAAAAACCATATATGAAAATGAAACACAGCCATACTTTGAAATTTGCACTTCTCTGAATTTTGCAGTACAGTTCTCCAAACAAGTAATGTATACAAAGATGTATATTTTAGGGTAAGGTATGCATGAAAATGCATATTTGAGTGGAAATAACATACAAAATGCATTAGATCAGGATAAATTGATTAGCAAAAATGTGTATATTAGGCAAAAATGCGTACAAAATATGTATGCTAGGAGAAATTAGCCCTGAAATACTGGTGGATTCTTATGGGATTTTCACAGACTGATGTGGAAATATGGAGAACAGAATTTATGAGTGGAACAATGAGAAACTGGGAGAATCAAAGCCGAAAATTCCCCCAATCCCAGGCTTTACCCTCATATGGTATATTTTTAGATGGTGCTATTATTTTTCCATAAAGGTGACACAGCGTTCCCACCTGCTGTCTGAATTGGTACAGTCCAGGAAAAGTTTATCACCTGATACTGTTGCATATGTAGTTGGACCTTACGTCCTAGTATGTTAGGCTTATTTATTTATTACATTTATATGTCCTGCTCAAAGTGCATGGTTCTCCTGCTTCCCCATTTTGTCCTCATAAACCCTTGTGCAGTAGGTTAGGTTGAGAGATAGTGACCGGCCCAAGGTTGTCAAGGGTGGGGTTCACCAATGTATCCCTTTGGTACAAGTCTTTCTGCTTACACAATGGAACTTTCTTCCTGCATATACCCCACACCCTTCCTAAATTTGCTCCAAGGGATTGTGGAAGAGCCCAGGACAGATTTAGGGGGCACTCCTGAGAAGGAGAGGTGGAGAATGTTCTCCTGTGCAAGTAGAAACGTTCACATAATTGCCAAGTGCCCCGGAAAAAACAGGACATCCTGTTTTTTCGTGTGAGGTCATGGTGGCCATTTTGGGCACCATGATCTCACATATTCTCATATTGTTCTCTTGTCCTGAAAAGGTGCCTTTTTTGGACTGAGAGCGAGGCACTGGTCACGTCACGCACCCAGGAGTGCATCCTGGAAGATGCACGTTCAGGTTTTGGGTCTGAAAAAGTTGGACGGTGTTTATTCATGTAGCACTGCTTTGGATAAAACCTCCAATGAGGCTCATGGCTGAGTGGGAATTTGCCCCTATGGCTCTCCCTTCTGAAGACTGAAGCATTACTCTAGTATTATTTCTGTACCCTGGGAGGAATAGGCAAGTGAAACCCTGTAGGACATACATTTGCTTTGCCAGGGCTTTACCCTGGGGCCTGTACCTCCCTATGGAGAAGAGCTGCAGCTCAGTGCTGGAGCACCAACCTTCCATGCAAAAGTTCCCAGGTTTAATCCCTGGTATCTCCATGTACAACAGGCAGAAAAATGGTTAAGTAGTCTGCCAAGGCCATTTTCAAGTGGTCCCAGGGGGAAAACCTCTGATCTAGATAATGATGAATGAGGTAGCCCAATAACCTAACTTGGTATAGGATAACAATGCTTTTTTGGGGTAGTCTCCACTCCCTTCATATGTTTGCCTGCATTTTCAAGGAAATGGGGCGGGGGCATTATATACTGTGAGCCTTATATAGGCTACCATTCTTCTATGACTGTCTTTGCTTTAAATCAGGGATGGGGAACCATTTTCTTCCCAAAGGCAACATTCCTTACTTGGCAGCCTTCTGGGAACCATATACCAGTGGTGGGCAGAGCTGTGAAAGATGATTATGCAGATTCATGAAGGGTAAGGCTGTCACTGGCTTCCAACCATGATGGCTATGTTCTCCTACCATGGTTGGAGGCAGGATGCTTCTCAATACCAGTTGCTGGGAATCACAGGTGGAGACAGCGAGCTGTTGCACCGAGGCCCTCCTGATGAGTTTTCCGGTAGGCATCTGGTTGGCCACTGAGAACAGGATGCTTGACTAGATGGGTCCCTGGCCTGATGGAGCTAGAGGCAAAATTGGGCAGAGCAACGAAGGGGGTTTATAAGTGGGGCATCACAATTGAGAAGACAGTCACTACCCACCTTGCTCCAGATAAAAGGGACACCTGGAGGAGTACCTCCAAAGATGACCTCAGTATACATGCAGGTTGAGATGGGAGTAAATTTTCATTTAGTGAGATAAGAATGGCGATAGCTAACAGGTTGGGGATCTGCAAATGCATGGCAACTGTGAACTGGTTTAGGCAGAGTTGTCTCTGACCCACAGGCTGTTTTCCATGAAAACATTTTGAACAGTCAGTGAACCTAGATGGCAACAAACATAAAAAACCCTTGATCTAAGACAGCCTTTGCCAAATTTATGCGCAGGCTAGGGCTGATGGGAGTTGTAGTCCAAAACATCTGGAGGGCATCAAGTTGGCAAACTCTGCCCTAAGACAATTTCAAAAATAATAATTAACCTCTGCCTATAGCGCTGTGGGTTAAACCACAGAGCCTAGGACTTGCCGATCAGAAGGTCGGCGGTTCGAAACTCCGCGACAGGGTGAGCTCCCATTGCTCGGTCCCTGCTCCTGCCAACCTAGCAGTTTGAAAGCACGTCAAAGGGCAAGTAGATAAATAGGTACCGCTCCGGCGGGAAGGTAAACGGCATTTACGTGCGCTGCTCTGGTTTGCCAGAAGCGGTTTAGTCATCATGCTGGCCACATGACCCGGAAGCTGTATGCGGACAAACGCCGGCTCCCTCGGCCTACAGAGCGAGATGAGCACACAACCCCAGAGTCGGTCACGACCGGACCTAATGGTCAGGGGTCCCCTTTACCCTTTACTATAGATTACCAGATAAGGCTGCAATTACTGGGGTGGGGAACCTATGGCCTTTCAGATGTTGCTGGACTACAACTCCCATCATACCTGATCAGTGGTCATACTGACCAACAAAATCTAGAGCAGGAGTGGGAAACCTCTCTAGAGGTTACTGAACTGCAGCTCTTATCAGCCTTAGCAGGAATGGCCAATGTCCAGGGCAAATGAACATCTGGAGGGCCAAAGGGTCCCCTTGCTTTACCCCTGGGAGTAAGTCTCGACAGAGTTTCCTTCTGAGTAGACATGCATAGGACTGCACTGCCAGCTATCTACTCTTGAACATGCTTTCGTTGGTCCTGCATATGTTTTAGTGGAAAACCACACTGCTGGATTGTGCCCCAGTCCAGAATTGAATGCACTAGATCTTGAAAGACTCACTTTCTAGGTGATTAGGTTCTCCATTAGAGTCTGGGGAAATTGTGACAAATCCACAAGACCATTAAATTAGAGAACAAGTCTTGAGTCACAGCAGCACCTGAGTAAAATCTGTATCTTGATTGTGCTGAGCAGAGTCGTGTTTAAGTCCTTTCTAGTAGGCTTGATAGAGTCTCATTTAGCAAGAATCTCAGCTACTGCTGGTAATACAACAGAAACTAACTCAAGGCTCACTGAGGAGCAGACAGGCGCCTTTTCTGTGTGTATGTGCTTGGGAGACAGAGCAAACATTTTATTTGTTTTAATAAAAATGCAAGATTGGTTGTTAAGCCAATAATGAATAAAGAATGACCCTCCACCTTGTTTTTATGTGCTATCTAATGTAAAATATCTCGTTCCATTCCCCAGCTTAGCTGGTACCTGGTGGCCCATGCCTTTCTATAGTAAGCTAAATCCTCTTACAAGGGCCACACATAATGTCCGTTCCTCACTTGCAAGAAGACTATCATTTTACTGTGTATCTTAATTATGGGTAGCTGTATTTTTTCAATTGGTTTTATTCTTATTATTTTGCTATTGGCTTGGTATTGCGTCTTGAAGTGGAAGGCAGTATATAATTTCAGTTATAATAATAATATTAGTGGTAATAATAATGTGGCAGTCTCTGGAACTCCCTGCCCATTGATATTATGCACTTATTGTTTCTGATGCCTGCTAAAAACATTTTTTGATTAGGCAAGCCTACTCAGACATGAATTTTAATTATATGCATTTATTTTATCTTATTTTTTTTTAAAAAAATCAGTTGGCTTTTATCTATATTCTGATAATTTTATTATGTCTGCTTTTTAAAAAGTCTGTTTTTTATGGCTGCTTTTAATGAATATTTTATAACATTTTCTACAAGCCACTTTCAGAGTTTTTCTTTAATTGCCGTTAAGCAGTGTATAAATATTCTTGCATTGCAGGAAGAGTTGGCCAAATTCAGGTTGGTTGTAACAAAGCCCTAAATCTTCGGTGTTTTAATATGGTTGCTGCATAATTACAGTGCATATTGATCAGTCTCTGCCACGTCTGCTCTCTCGCCCCTTCCAGATTAACTTTCCAAGATGTCCTTTGGGAGAGATATGGAGCTGGAACACTTTGACGAGCGCGACAAAGCACAGCGCTACAGCCGAGGGTCGCGGGTGAACGGCCTGCCTAGCCCGACCCACAGTGCCCACTGCAGCTTCTACCGCACCCGCACCCTACAGACCCTCAGCTCCGAGAAGAAAGCCAAGAAAGTCCGCTTCTATCGCAACGGGGACCGCTATTTCAAAGGGATTGTATACGCCATCTCTCCCGACCGGTTTAGATCTTTCGAGGCCCTGCTGGCTGATCTGACTCGGACTCTCTCTGATAATGTCAATCTGCCCCAGGGTGTGAGAACAATCTATACCATTGATGGAGTCAGGAAGATTACCACCTTAGACCAGCTGGTGGAAGGTCAGTATAATAATCATCATAATCATCATCACCATATAATTTATTATTTATACCCTGCCCACTCTGGGCGGCTCCCAACAGGACACTAAAAACAGAATAAAACCTCAAACACTAAAAACTTCCTTAAACAGGGCTGCCTTCAGATGTCTTTTAAAAGTCAGATAGTTGTTTATTTCCTTGACACCACCACCGAGAAGGCCCTCTACCTGGTTCCCTGTAACCTCACTTCTCGCAGTGAGGGAACCGCCAGAATGCCCTTGGCGCTGGACCTAAGTGTCTGGGCAGAACGATGGGGGTGGAGACGCTCCTTCAAATATACTGGGCCGAGGCCATTTAGGGTCTCAAAGGTCAGCACCAACACTTTGAATTGTGCTCTGAAACATACTGAGAGCCAACGTAGGTCTTTCAGGACTGGTGTTATGTGGTCTCGGCAGCCGCTCCCAGTCACCACTCTAGCTGCCGCATTTTGGATTTGTTGGAATTTCCCGGTCACCTTCAAAGGTAGCCCCACATAGAGCACATTGCAGTAGTCCAAGCGGGAGATAACTAGAGCATGCACCACTCTGGCAAGACAGTCCAATTAGTGGGACCAATGAGTAAACCCTGTTGCAGTATAGTATATGCCTTATCTCTGTTCCAGTCAGCTACAGTGCACTATGATTTTTCCACTTTCACATACCCATTATAACAGTCTGTGGCCTCTGTATTTGCTCAATCCTCCTTGAGTTAATTTGTAGGTTTCCTCCAGTTAGGAGTTTTGTTTTCATAATGATTCCCCCCCCACCACCACTTTTTTTTTTTGCAAATCTTCAGGTTTTTCTAAGTCACTCTCTCTGTGTGTACCACTTTGGATCCACACTCATGCCTGAAAATCAGCAATAGAGGGAACAAGTGGGAACAAAACTGTCTCTTAAATCTGATCAGAGGAGAAATTTAAATGAAAAGACAGACGAAAGAGCTGGTGTACATACTGAATTTAAATATCCAAATACCAGATCTAGATGTCTGGTATGCTGTTTACCTGCAAACTGCTTTATCCTGGACGTGTCCTAAAATATTCTCTTATTGGTTAAGATCTTCCGGCAGCCTAATACATTGTCCTGTCTTTCACATTAGTCTGCTGAAATGCAGGGGGTATGCATAGGCTTTATTCTAAATCTAGAATATCTCAAATTGGTACTTAATATCTCAAATTAGTACTTAAAAGTTGAGATTTAGATTTAGCAGTTATAGGCCAGGCAGAATTGGCATTTCCCCCATGGAGAACTACTGCCAAGATGTTGCTGGACAACTGCTTGGCGTCGATCTTCAAGTGCGAGTCAACTTTCCAAGTCGCTATAGAAAGTGGCAGAATGCAAATTGTGCAAATACAGGCTTTCCCCCCCAAAAGGGCAATGTGTGTACAGTGGTTTATTTGTAGGGTAAGAAATGCACAAGCAACTGTCAAGCAGAAAATCAGATTATCCAAGTTTTCTGGAACAAGCAGTTGACAGTGGTTTTTGTAAATAGATTCGACTCAAAGATCTTGCTGTCTTGACCCTTTCCCTTTGATAGAACCTTATTCAATTTAAGCTACTGGCTTCTTACAATGTGATAAAACCAATACTTATACTTAAAGTCACAAAGCAAAACCAATGTCTGAAAACTTGCATCGATCTTATGATTCTCTCTAAAATTCAAAGAAGATGTAACAGTTGCTCTTGCTGATTATTATGCCTGCATCTCTGGACACAATCAAATGGGCTTCAGGGAAAATCCTATATCAACATCATTCTTATCTACATTTCTGGTCCTCGTGTTTCTTTTTCGCAGGCTTCAATTTATTTTGGTTATTCTTAAGGTGTTTTCTATACTTAGCCAATGATCAAACACCTCAAGTCTGACTTGTGTAGCACTGAAAGCCAAACATAAGTCCTTCACTCTCAAGATGCTGAAACATTCAGGTATTTCATGCATGGATTAACTGAAACAAGCACAGTCAGCTGAATGGTGTAACAGACTGTCCGTAACTTCAGTAACTCACCGAAATTACTGAACATTCTAGTTTTTTTAATAATATAGCATACAATTTTTTATTGTAAGCTCTCTTGAAGAACCCTGTTAGACCCAAGGGGGGATTATAAATAATGAGGAAAGTGAAGAAAAACTGCTGCAAAATAATTAAACATGCAATTGGTCGTAGAAAATTGTTTGGATATTGCAGATTGTCCTTTTAATTATTATTTTTAAAATATCAAAGGTTTAGTGGAGTTTCAACCTTCTAACATTTAATCATGCAATTAGATTTAATGGGACTAGACCTCATAGTTGCTTTTTAAAAATTAAATTAATTTTTGAAATTAATATCACCTGCTATGGAATTTTTTCTGTTAGTACTGACTGGCTGCCAAAATCTATTAAAAATCTTGGTGTTCAGAGGAGAGAACTGAGTGCAACAGGGTATGGTAATCAAATTAGAATATAATGTGAAACTGATCCGCAACAATGCTTGGTCAGCCATCACCTTGAAAAATAAGGGTGCCATAAACAAGCCAGCTCTGAAAACACATTTATTCATCTGTAACTAATGTTGAGAATTAGCAAATAATAAAGTTGCCTTATACTGTTTCAGACTGTTCTTCCTATCTTTGCCCAGTATTGTCTACTTTGCAAGGTTTACAGCAAGGGCTTCTTTTCCTGGTTACATCCTAAGACTACCTTAACAGGAGACGCCTGGGACCTTGTGCACACAGAGCTCTTACACTGAGCCGTGGCCAGCTGTCAACTCTGTGTTTCATTCTGCATTTGCAAAGAGAAACTGTCCTAAAGAGTTAGCTTTAGCCCCATTTGCCAGTTGTCTACTGGAATTTGAAGGAGTGAGTTCTGCTTTACTGGAAATCAATCTCCTGGCCTACCCGAAAGGAACACATATTTAGAATAAATTAATATTTCCCCCCCCTGAATATATTTCACAAACTGACAGTTCATGGCAGTGTTCTCCTCCTACATTCTCTCTCTCTTTTTTTAAAACTGATGCTGCAAGTTTATTATAGATACAATTAGCTTGCAGCTGTGTGTAGCATCTAAACAGTTGGGAAAATCACTTGGTGGTGTCCCACTCCTCCAGTTACATTTCTGCTGAAGCTGACAGTTTTCAAAGAACAGGGAGAAGAGCCTGGCTTTTTGAAATGGCCAAGCCTCCTTCAGCAATGTCAACTGTGATTCCTGCATTGCAGGGGTTTGGACTTAGATGACCTTTGGGGTCTCTTCCAACTCAACAACTCTGATTCTAGCTTTTCATTAGTGGCTCTCTTCCTCTGTTACCTAAAGCAGTACACTCAATCTCTCTTTTCTTCGCCCCAAGCTCTGCCTGGAGGTGAGAGGAATGATTTACCTGTCTGAATGGGATGTTAGGTATCCAGCCCATATAACACGAATGCTGGATCTGACCAGTGCTTCTTTGACTGTGGTGAAGTTGTCTCTGGGTCGAAGCCCTTCAGAAATGTTGTTGTTGTTGCTTAGTCATTTAGTTGTGTCCAGCTCTTTGTGACCCCATGGACCAGAGTATGCCAGGCACTCCTATCTTCCACTGCCTCCCACAGTTTGGTCAAACTCATGCTGGTAACTTCGGGAACACTGTCCAACCATCTCGTCCTCTGTCGTCCCCTTCTCCTTGTGCCCTCAATCTTTCCCAACATCAGGGTCTTTTCCAGGGAGTCTTCTCATGAGGTGGCCAAAGTATTGGAGCCTCAGCTTCAGGAACTGTCCTTCCAGTGAGCACTCAGGGCTGATTTCCTTCAGAATGGATAGGTTTGATCTTCTTGCAGTCCATGGGACTCTCAAGAGTCTCCTCCAACAACCATAATTCTAAAGCATCAATTCTTCGGCGATCATCCTTCTTGATGGTCCAGCTCTCACTTCCATACATCACTACTGGGAAAACCATAGCTTTAACTATACAGACCTTTGTCGGCAAGGTGATGTCTCTGCTTTTTAAGATGCTTCCTCTGTTACCTAAAGCAATACACACAATCTCATCTGACCAGTGCTTCTTTGACTGTGGTAAAGTTGTCTCTGGGCCGAAACCCTTCAGAAATGTTAGGCAGTGGAGAATGGTTCTCTCTCTCTCTCTCCCCCTCCTCTCTCTGAGCTTTTACTGTATTATTGTTTTGACACTGGACCAACCTTTAGGAATGATTTTAGGCTAGGGAATCCTGCCATGGCGAGAGATTGCAAGTACCCTCCAGCACTGATTCTGGGCAACACTGGAGTGTTAAGGTTTTTATATTGTTATGTGCAACCCGGTCTCTGAGCAGTGATAGATTTCAGGAGTGCCAGCATGTACCTCAGGCTTGTGTTCCTTGGAATGAAGGTCACTGTAGACATTGGTGTCTTTGTGATAATACGGTTTTATTTACACAGATAGCATGAACAGAGCATATGATAAAAGGCTTCGCAGTCTTAATGCTCCCAACTGATCTTGCTCCCCGATTGGATTTCTAGAAAGCCCCCTGCAAATGCCATAAGCTTTGGTTTCGGGACAGAGAGCAGGCCAAGCCTCTTTCTTCCCAGCCCCAGATGAGACTGGCTCAGGTCTGTTCTTCTCTTACACTTGCTGATAGCATCTCCTCCAGCT